TACATACATATACATACATATACATATATGTATCAATGTTGTTACTTGCCCTTCCACTGTTTTATAAACCCTGCATAAATAAAACAATGTTTAGGTTTCCAGATTTCTTCCACCAATCCTGACAATTTAAAAAGGAGGCTGATCTGATTTGCTTTGGGTTTTATGGAGCTCAGTCCAGTTCGTAGTCCCAATTATAGTAGATTCGTTAAGTGAATAGGACTTGTGGGATTAACCGATGTGGAGCTGAAACGCCTCCATGATGGTGCATGAACACTGACCGAGCATTTCTTTCTCACTCAGAGTTTCCTAGGTAAGCCAGTGTTAAAGGTCTTGAGCCAACCCTCTTCGTATTCCACTCCTTCAAAAGTGTCTTTTCTACACACAAAACAAACCACCATTTCCACCTTCTTCAGACCTCAACAAGCAGGTATGTTTTTCTAGGAGAGGACAGGTACTTGCTTTTCATTTCATAGTAAAATGAAAATGAAGGGGCAAGATTCATTGAAACCTGGGATTCTGAAAATTAGGCTTGGAGGACCTATAGTTTCTGGGTGGAATTTTGTTAGTTGTGTGCATCCAGATTCACAATGACTAAATCCTACCAGGTCAGAATTGACTACATTCTCAGTACGAAATGCTGAGTTTATTTATTTATTTATTGCATTTATATGCCGCCCATCTAGACATAGTCTACTCTGAGGGTGTGGGCGTTTAATTGAGCCCCTGACCCGTGTGCAGACAGCACGAATTGGCTTGCTTTCTCCCTTGAATTCTAGTTTTGGTCCAAATTGTTTTATAAATCCTCTGTAGGATATGGGTTTTTTAAAAACTCAGGCCTCTGGAAGGATTCATGGAAATAAAAATATTAAGCTCGTATCTGGCCCAAGATGGTGTGAGCAGGAAACAAACCTTTCTGGTCTGATTGAATTGCGTCCCTGCCTGCCTGCCTTTCAGGCATAGATAAACACAGGCAGATGCTTGTCAACACCACCAATAAGCTGAAGTGGTGGGGATGCGGCCACGTTGCACGGGTCCATAGAGGCAAAACCCAGACTTTCTTTTTTCTGAATGCTCATGGCTTTTTTGCAAGTGGGCATCCAGTCCCGATATGTGGATTCAGCTTGTCAACCAGTAAGATTTATGTGCATGTAAGCTTTGATTAAGACTAGAGATGGGCATGAACCGAGAGTTTGGCCATCAGCCCCATGGATGTTCTGTGGTTCCAAGCCCCGCCTCCTCTGGCGGGTGTCCACTCGGAGGTGGCACCCTGGCTTCCCTGCCCCGCCCCCTCTGGGTGGGTGCCCGGGGGGAGGAGGCGAGGCTTGGAACCACACAACACATGTGGAGTCGACATCTGAGCCTGTGGTTCGTGCCCATCTCTAGTTCAGACCAGGCACACAAATAGCCTAAATCAGGGGCAAAACCTTGTGCTCTTAGATGTTTTAGACGGATTCCTCACTATAGCCCATTCTGGCTGAGGCTTCTGGGTTGAAGTCCAGAGGATCTGGAAGGCCACCACCTGCCTGCCTTCCACCGAGAGGGCATGAAACGTGTCACATTTGCCTGAGTGATCTAGCAATTCTTGTATTCTACTAGGGAGGCAGCCTGACAGGATGGGCAAAATAGGGCAATCCCCAAAGCAGAGGTCGCTGCTTCATTCGTAAAATGAATGATGAGTCTTTCCGGACCTGGATCACTCCCAACACACAGGCGAGACTTCAGAAGCTGGTTGTAGTCACATTTTTATTTAATACGTCATTTCTTATTTTATCCATTTTTTCCTTCTCTCTACTATCATAACGCCTGCCTACATTTACTCGTGTTTTTTTTTAAAAAAACCTGCGAAAAAAAGCTCCTAGTCAAGGAGAGAGAAAAAAAATGCTTACGGGCAATAGTTATTACTTGCAAAAAAAAAATGCTGAAGGGAGAAAATACCTAAGAAAGAAATACCTGGTTTTAATAATTTGCACATAAATTTGCAGCGCTTTGTAGAAGAGGCTGCATTATCTCATACTCCCGTTGCACTTTCCCTTGCAAACGCATGTTACAAAAACAGATGTTATCGAAAACGCATGGCCTCTTCGGTGCATTGATGCCTGTGTGAGGCTCTGTAAAAGCAGCAGCCGCTCCTGCCCCGTGACTGACTCTGAATCACTTCCAAAACTGAGCAGCTAGAGGCAGATGGGGAAAGGTTACTGGAGGAAAGCAGCCAGATGCAGCTTATTTTGCTTTCAAGTCACACTTACTGAAGGGAAAAGAGACGGACTGTCAGTTGCTGCTTTTCTGAGTTCCGTGGAAAAGCAAGGGAGGGAAGCTTTTGAGCTCTTGCAGGAAAGAGTATTTATGACTGAAGTGAAAATAGAAGCTGGGTATTATCTTCACACCAGGTTCAGCAGAGGAGGCTGGGTTATTATCCTGCATCAGCACATCTTAACATTACTTTTGTTAATTAGCCATGGGGGGGTTTCTTATTTGCTAAACTTGCTAACTAAACCACACTCCCTCTTTTTCTGAATTTAAAAATTCGGCTGAACCAGCAAAGCTTGTGTCCAAGTAACTGTGCAAGTAAATACACATGCCACACCACCTGATGGTAATTCGTAATTCGTGCAGAAGCCCTCCCTAAGATTTCTCTGATGGAAAGTGATTCTGCATATCTGTATGACCCATCTTTGTCAGTCCACCAACAAGATAGAACCATTGGTCTACCAGTGAAGGCTGACTGCTGTCTTGAAGTCTGGCTGCTAGGCAGAACAGTATAGCGTGTAACATCTAGCAAACCACATCTCTTGTCAGTAGACAGTCTGGGCTTAACAGAGCTTTTCAAATTAGTTTATCAGAAAAACAGGGCAGGATTTAACGTTGCTCAAATCTGGTCTTGAAAGTAGAGGTTTTGCTGCTGGTAATTCAGTTTCGCCTTGTTCTTTCAGGGGACGGGAAAACAAGAAGCAAAAGTTTGCTTCCTGTAGCAACAAACAGTTCTTCCGACGTGAAATCCCCTCATTTGCCTACTGGGGGAGAAAACCCATTGCCAGCATCTGTGATTCATCCAGTAGTTATGGAAAAGTGTGGCCAACAGCTTGTAAAGAAACCCCAACCCTACTTGCCTGGGAATTGTCACCCTGTCCAAGCCCAGCTGTACAACAGCTGTATCCTGCGTTCGACTAAAGACGACCACCCTGCTGGAGAGAAGGAATATCCTTTCTCCTTCGACCTAGACCAGCGTTGGGAAGAGAAAAGGGTTCTTGATTATGCGCCCGTTTTTGAGCCACCTTTGAGAGAGAGAAATGGGGACTGGGAAAGAGATCCCCCTCTTTCTCTTCTCAGAGAAAGTCCAAAGAGGAAGGTAGCTTCAAGCCAACGAACTAAGTTTCAGAGAAGATACAGGGACCCATCCTCTGACTCAGAAAATATAAATCCTCAGCTGGAGAAAGGGATGAACCAAGGGAAGCCCCGGGAAGGTCTCAGAGAAACCCCACCTAGGCTCCTTTTACAAGCCAGTGGTCACTTTTGCAGTTCTGAGAACAGCCAAGTTGATGTGGCCAGCTCTTTGTTCACACAGGACTCGGAGGGCTACAAAGTCATTTCGCACTGTTTACCTGACCGAGGTAAGCTGCGTTTGCAAAATAAGCCTCTTTGGGGTAAAAACAGCTCAGTGGTGAGCCCGTCCCATAAGGGCCACTCGGAGGCTTGTTATTCTACGGCAGGAGGGCCCCGCGCTTCTCCAGGCACGACCCGGTCTGTTCTTGCAGACACGAGTGAGAAGTCATGTTACGACTTGCTATTCACAGAGGATTCAGAAGGCAATAAAGTCATTAAACACTAGCTCATAATTGCTCTGTGCAATAAATATCCTCAATGCCTACTCGGAAAACAAAGTGATGCAGACCCGAGGTTTAAAGATGTGCTGTATATATAATGCCTAGAGTTGTACTCAAGCAGCGCCATGTGCTCATTTCTTTATGTTACGGTAATCTAATAAAGGAAATACAGAAAATAATACTGTTGTGGTTCAAAAATGAGCAAAATATGTGGTTCAAAAATAGCTGTATCTATTCGTATATGTAAATGGTGATAGTGCAGGAGCAGAGTATCATCTGTAGTTCTAAGTATACATAATTTGTTTTGATGAAATCCGCTGTTGTGTTCTTTGACAAGGACTGTATTATGATTTAGTAAAGTGTCCCTTTTCTTCTCCCTGACTAGATCTCACTGCTACTTGTTCCTGGAATTGGTCTTCTTAGAATTTTCTTTTCCAGCAGCAGGGGTGGGGGTGTAGTAGAACTTATCCTTTGTCTCGTCTTGTGCTCTACTACAACTGACTAAAATCTCTCTCTCTCCTCTCCCTCTCTCTCTCTCTCTCTCTAGATATATATAGAGAAAGCAAAGAATTTTAGGCGGTTGTAGTAGAGCATATATATATGAAGTGCAGAGATTGTAAAGTGCTGGAAGATCAATTGCACGGGTCTCTCCTGTCTGCATTTCACAACTAGAGAGGGGCGGTTCAGGACACTGAGCCCAGAGATGGTGTGCACGTGCCCCAGATTCGGCATTCCACCTCCTCCTGTGGGCTCTTGCTCAGAGGCGCTCGAGCTGCAGCAAGTGCCCCTCTCTACTCATCACTAAAGGCTTGTCTGCTTACACGCTTGGTGGTGGGGGGGGGGGGGGGGGAAGGGGAGGGGGGGTGGCCTTGGCCTAGAGCAGAGGAGCAGCTCTGCTGTCACAGAGGCGGTAGCGGGTGTAAAGCCTGCCCCCCAAAGCAGGGCAGGGCGGCACCTCCTTCTGAAGAAGTCGCTCCACGGCAGCAAACCCCAAACCCTGCTCTAGAGCCGTCTAGAAGCTGTGCACTTATGGCTTTTGTCCAAACTGGACAGACTCTGAAGAAGCTTGTTTGGGTGGTGTGAAATTTGGCAGGATTTGGCCGATCCTCGAGGACGTTCTCCCTGAGAGGGCAATTCCATGAGAACAGGTCATTTACCGAGTTGTTTCCCCATCTCGAGTCTTAGAAATGCAGCCATTGTTTCTACAGATCCACAGACCTAGGACAGGGACCGCTACTCTCGCCATCTGCGGGAGATTGGCTCCCATTCCCCCCATGGCTGCTGGAAAAACACGCAGTCTAGGGAATACCCTCCCTGCTCTCCCCAACTAACTATCTGAACAGTGAATTCAAGCCCGTGGGACAAAGGAGGTTGCAAGAATCCCAGACCACCTCACCAGTCCACACAAACATGATGGTTACCTGAAAAGGGGTGGGGCCTGAGTACAGAGGCCCCCGCCCCTGCCTCAGGAGGGGCTACTCACCTGCAGGCAGAGCTGCTTGCCAAAGCCAGCTGGCCCTAATCACTGCCCGAGACTATGCAACACATTTCTTCATAGCATGCCCCCTAGCTTCCTCTATGGCCAGTTCTGGTCATGCATGTGAAAATAATCTTTTTTTCCCCCTGGAATTTTTTTCTTTAAATATTTTCAGACCGCGGATCATTGAATCAGCAGATACTGATCCTGCCATTAAAGAAGTCCTACTAAAATTTAATGAATAGCTTTTGGTCTTCAATGATCTTTTCACTTCATCCTTCTTCCCATTTTCCCCTAAAGATAAACAACTACGATACAATAGTGACCAATACTTATCTCGGTGTTACCTGAATCGCTTGACCTGGGTTTGTGAAAAGGAAGGAAAAGGTATGACATGGAAACCTGCTCTTAAGCTACAGACCACAGAAACAGACCACTGTGCAGGATCATGGCTCTCGATGAGAGCTTAAGCAGCCAGATGCCCTCCATAGGAGCATCTGTTACCAAAATCACAGTAGAACCACTGCAGATAAGACTCCGGTGTGCTCCAAATATGGGGTAAATGATACCCCACCCGCTCATCCCTCTGCTTCTGCAGATTTCCAAGCAGTCCTCAGTGATGGTGCTTTTACTCATTTGGCCAAATGCTAACAAAGACCACCTCTATAGAGGGGCTCTGGGTTGAGTTTTCAGACAGGGCTGGCTCATGAGCCTGCAGAACACGTTGACCACCGTGTAATAAGAGATGAGGCCTCTTACCAATTTATTAACATTGGGCTATCATCACACTCCATGAGGGGTGGATCTCTAGACCTCCCTTCCAAGAGGTCTCCGAAGGGCACAGTCCTTCATGTTTCATTTTGTTCTCTTCGAACCTTTGCCAAAGGAAAAAGGCAGGAGTGGCAAAAATTTGTGTTTCGTCCTCATCAGCTTCGGGGGAAGACGATACGAACGGTAACTCAAGTTTGCCTTCCGTTAGGCACGGCTCAGGAACAGTTTAGTCTACAAGCTGCAGATCCACCCATTTCACAACACACAATATTTGCTATCAAAAAAGTTGACTGCAGGAGCAGACTTCAAAAAAACAAGCCTAAAAAGAAATGTCTACTTATAACTGTATCTACAGGCTTATCAACTCCTGTGAAATTGCCAACAGTTCATTTTTAATTTAACTTATCACTGAGCCAGTCGCTGGCCGCTTTCACTGTAGAGGATTTTTTTTTTTACTAACAAGGCTTCTGTTCAGGTTGCTGTGGGAAATTAGCGTTTTTAAAAAAAGTTGTATCTCACAGCTGTGTGGGGAAAAAACATAGCAAATGACAGTCCTGCTTGCCTAAGTGCAATTTCCACACATACATTTGAAAAACCCCAAATCTCTAAAGGATCTTGGATGCTCCAAGGAAAGCAGCCACTGTAGAGAAAAATCATAGATGGACAATTACTTGCTTTACACGGTAATAAATGGAGTATCTTCTCAGAACCATAGTGTCAGTTCTTTTTCATGGTTACGTCTTCGTCCTTCAAGGCAAATTTTCTCCTTAAAGCTTCTGCTATAAGAATGGCAGGATCCTCTTCTTTCAATAAAGTTCTGTTCCTGAAAGGAAGATACAACAGGAAGGGCATTAACAGGAGCATGCTTGCGATTCTCAATTTTTTACTGCAATACTGAAGCCCCTTCTGAAGGTGTTTCCTGCTTCATGAGCTCCGGTTAAGCCATGAGGGTTTTGTTTGATGGGGCGAATATTCCTTGGGCCTGCTGATACCGGGGGGCTAATCATCCAATGTCTATTTCAGTGTCTCCGTCTTGGGAGATGTAATGAGCAGAGGGAGAAAGCACATCGTACAGGAGGGCATCAGCAGAATCTGCATGAATATTGAAAAAACTGCCCTAGTGTATACAAATGGTGCGAATATTCCTTGGGCCTGCTGATACCGGGGGGCTAATCATCCAATGTCTATTTCAGTGTCTCCGTCTTGGGAGATGTAATGAGCAGAGGGAGAAAGCACATCGTACAGGAGGGCATCAGCAGAATCTGCATGAATATTGAAAAAACTGCCCTAGAATGGGGAAGAATCGTTGTTGTCTAGCGAAGATTGGCCATAGGAAAGCCACTTTGCAAACCGCCAATCAGCTGTTTAAATCGCTGTCTTGCGAAGCTTAGGTCCCGACAACACCTGTTTGCGAGGGCGGAGGGAGCTGTCAAAATTGTCGTCTAGCGAAAATCGGTTTGCAAAGCAGGGACCAAACATTGTCCAGCGAAATTCCCCCACAGGAATCACTGTTTTGTGAATCGCTATAGCGACTAGAAAAAGTCAATGTCTAGTGAAAAAACTGTCATGCGGGGTAACTGTCTAGTGAGGCACCACTGTATATAAAATAATCATCCAATGTCTACTTCAATGTCTCCGTCTTAGGAGATGTAATGACCAGAGGAAGAAAGCAGATCGTACAAGAGGGCTGGGCATCAGCAGACTCTGCATGAACATCGGCCCCGGGAAGAGTGGAGAGGTGCTCCCCCCAAACATACCACGTGGTGGGGCAGCTCCACAGGCCAGCATCCCATGGTCTTACAAGCTGGATACACTTCCAGAGTCTTTGGGATCAGCAGAAATGAGAGAATTGCATCCCCCCCCCATTCCAGCATATGTAAGGCTGAAAGCCGAGATCTTGGAGAAAGGGTAGAATAGGATCTGAAGGGCTACTACTTCGACACAGACAATTTGGCCCCAAAGGAAAAAACTCATTTCCCTGCTACCTAGTAGAACAAGACAATCCCTTGAAAAAACTGCCCTAGTGTATACAGATTATAAAGGTGGTCTCTCTTCTTTGCACCATCACGAAGGCCTTCCCTATTAGCTATTTTAAGCTGTACATTCCTTGTGAGGAAGAACCTGCCTTGTTGAACTGTTAATGTTTTACCGTTTGTCTCCCGGCTTTATGGACCAGAGGATGGAAGAGGGACACCCCACCGAGTCTGGAAAAGCTGGTAGAACTCGCAGGAGAGTCCTACCTCTGAAACTAACGCAAAACTAAAAGAAAAGGAAAAAAATAAAGACGACAAAAATGTGGCATCTTAAAGACGAACTGCCATATTTTAATGCAAGGTTTTGTGGACAAAAGGTGCCATTGTTTTGTCTTCTTTATTTTTACATTTTTCTCTCGTTTTAGCCTGAGATGCTAGCACAGTCTAATCGACTACCTTTTCTAACATTACACAGAAGTTTAAAAGTCTCCTGGCCAGATGCAAACTCTATAGCCCGGTATCTCGCCTATACTGGGGCAACTTAAAGTTATGCCAGTGCAGATGTGCTGAGTGTTGCACCTGGCGAGAAAGATTTACACTATGGAATCATGCAATTAGTTGTGTGACCCCAGGAAAACCAACTGCAAGTACACTGGCAGAAAATACTTTCACCTGAGCACCCGCACAACCACCGTGCACACAACCTTGAGTGGCACACGCATAGCTGCACAACAGATTTTTGGCCACAGGATGTTACAGGTGCCACCAAAGCAAGATTGCTACTCTTTCTATCAACATAATTGTGGATAATCTAGACAAGATTTGTAACCATGTAACATGTAACACAGTCAAGATACATTTGTGTGTGTTCTCCTGGACAGACAGACAGAGAGAGAGAGAGAGAGAGAGAGAGAGAGAGAGAGAGAGAGAGAGGAGCAAATCCACACACTTGTGATGACCCAAAGCGTCTCCAGCCATTTTTACAATTCTCTCTATGCATCTGGAATAATAACCGACGCTAAATCTATTTCCTGCTAATTTATGCCGCACCATGCATTATCTCAACAATTTCTCCCCCCATTTCTATCCTTCCTTCTAA